AGGAGGTCTGTCGACCTATATTAATCCTTGCAGTTTGTAATACTGTGGAGGTCCAATCTCGTTTTGAATATATTAACAGACGGTGTTGATATTACGTGTTCCGGTAGGGAATTCCAGTAATTCACTACTCGGTGCGAGAAACGGAACTCCAGACGTAAACGGTTTGACCTCGGTTTTTGAACTTTCTTCGAATGTCCTCTCAAATGATCGGTTCTAGACGGAAGCAAAAGATAAGACATGTTAATACCAAGGTCATCGTTCAGCATACGATAAGCCAATATTAGATCACCCCGTACTCTACGGTAAGATAACGGAAATAAGTTAAGGTGTCTCAGTCTGTCTTCATAAGATAGGCCAGCTAGACCTTGTACCATCTTAGTAGCTCGTCGTTGGACTCTTTCTAGCATATCTGCTTCATATTTGAAACAAGGACTCGCTGCTTGAATCCCGTATTCTAAATGTGGTCGCACATAAATCGGGTATAGTAATCCAATCTGCGAAGAATGCACACATGTTAATAAATACTGACCAACTGAACTTGGTAATACCAACCATAAACATGCAAACAATTACAAATATTTGGGTACATATTTAACAAACTGACGAGTATTTGACCAGATTAGCTTAATGGACTACTTGTAGCCTTTTGAAGCGTTAAACACTAGGTTTGAGCCTCACTATAAATATTAATATGCATGCAATTCTTTAAAGCACTAAAGCTTACTAGATATCAAAGAGTAGTTGCTTCCCAATTTCTGTCTTGTTGAAAAATGTGTATCGCTTCACGATTTTAATTAAACTGTAATTTTTTGGGGTGAACATTTTAAAATCTAAAATATTTTGAGCGTAATATTACTAGTTCAAAAAAGTATACCTACCTCTTTTGATCTTCATCAAATACGAAAGTGAAAATGAAACTCACTCTCCTGATTAGTGTAGTGGCTTAGCTTCGTTAATCAATCACATTAATGACCGTTATTATATAATTCTCAACGGTGTTTGAAATCAGAAGGCAGTAGGAAGAGGCGACTACAGTTGATTAGCGGATATCACAAACAACAAAGGTTTAAGAAAATAGAGTGAATTTGATGCCGAAAGGCGAATGTGTATTTGCGAGCAAATATGGAGGCAAATTTTTGGTCAAATCGAATTAAGCGTAGCTAGGTAAGGCATAAGCTAGTAATAGGATTTGAGTACATACATACACAGTGAAGAGAATGACACATCGATCGATATTTAAGCTATAAACATTTTAACTGGGGGGAGATAGTGCATAGGCTGTCATATAATCAAGCGTACACGTTTATACATATATTACAATAATCGTAGCAGGACATAGAAATAGAAGAGTTGTCACTGTTAGATTAGCATTATTTGTTAAGCAAGTTGATAAGAGGGCTTAACAAAACTTAACCATGATAAAAATTGATTTTAGGAGAGTCGCTATATTAGAATGTGTCAAGAAAGTTTATTTACTTCAAGCGTATTCTACTTTATCAGCAATAATTCATTCAATCATATCTCTTGCATCAACAAGTATCGATAGCTAGCTTACATGTATTTTAAACACAAATCAATATTCTTAATAACATTTCTTAACAACTTCTTGATTGATTGGCTAAAATCATGACTATGTTTTACTGAAGAAAAGTGTCATGTGTATTGTGTTATAAAATAGTTTGCACGCTTGCGGTTATACTGTGATATTCTCGATTTTAAATGAAGCGATTCACATTAACATTTGATTAAAGATTGATTGTATGAAAGTGAGTTTACTGCTACTAATTAAATTATTCCATTTGTTTACTCATTTTAAATGTTATAATTTCAGCTGGTGAATAGACAGATAATTGATATGATAGGGTTTGGTGTATTAAATATTCATGGTAAAACTTAATTACAAGTATAAGCATAGATACAATGCCTACTAGTCGGATACCGCCATGATTCGCTTAGATTAGATGATTCAATTGATAAATGTACAAGTTAATGATAGTTTGAAATGTGAGTGATTAGAACAGAGTAAATAAGGGTGAAGTGTTATATGCTGTATTAATTACGATGAATTATTAATATGAGAATCGAGATGATGTGGAGAAAAGACAGTTGCTTCATGATTATCGATGATATTTGTCTGATATTGCAGTCGTGTTATTTGGAATGGCTTGATGTAATGCTGGTTTTTATCTAAAATGATAGTTTATTTCAAACAAATGACTAAAATGTGTGTTTGAAGATGGTGGAAATTGTATCAGTACTTGGACCATGACATCATCATCATAGACTATCCCTATTCTCGAAAATGGTAAGTTGTTGTTATCTGTGTAGTTTCCTACTCAGTGAAAATGGCACATGATGAATATCAGGGTGAATGTTTGTAAAGTGCTTGCAAACTCTACACACGTATGACTTTCAGTAATCAGTTTTTCCATAATCAATAATGATAAATAATCTTGAGTCAGTTGTACACGCTCGTGTGACATACATTTAGAAGAGGCGATTTTGGTTATCTTGTTTTCTAGGGGATGGTGTTGGTTATGATACGCCTAGTCCTTCTACTGAATCCGAGCTTGGAACCGGCAGTAACCGTCGAAGTGCTACCGACTAGGTTTTGATCAGTATTAGTTGATATCAATCAAATAATATTGACTAATGATCCATAATTACATAGAATGAAATTGATGGTGGCCAAAGTTTACACTTTGATTTCACATTTAAAGAGTGCTTTCCAAAATCTTATCAATTCGGGTCGGATTTTTGAGAGTAAATAAACCTTTTCATTTTTAGTTGTTCAGGAGTGGGCTTCAGTACATCTGCTTAACATGTTGATCTGTTGAATCTACAATGAAATCAAGTGTTATGTCATACGGATATCAAGCGGTCCGTTCGCACAAGTTTTTGAAATGTTTTCAGTAAAGAGACCTAAATGAATTGTTCATAAAAAATAATAAGCATTTGCTTTACAATCACTGGTATCCATAATCTCTGTTTATCGATAAAATGAAGGCAATTACACATTTTTACACTGGCATATGTATGAACAATTTAGTAGTCTATTTTTAGACTACTTAATTTAAATTAGTAACAGAATTCAATAGGGATATTTTACAAATGGTTAAATCTTTATCTGCGATCATGGGCTTTTGATATTGAATCAGTGGCAACATTATATTAATGTGCTTGTGAACATTATTGAAAATATATGTTATTACTCGTAATATACAAACCGTATTCTGTGAAGAACCGTAAAGAGAAAGAAAACGTTGAGTGTAATTGTGTGTAACGTTATCACGGTTTATAGTTAGTGATTTCATAGTTATCAGTATTGGAGGCTGTGGATTGCAGGTGCTATGACTACAGTTTCATGTTACAAATTGGCTGTAATTAAATAATCACTGAAACCAAGCAAACATAAAAAATTCACTTAGTCCTATTATAATACTTATCATTAGTGAACATCCATGATTCAACCAAGAATCAAACTCTTGGCACCCCGGGTCTCACAGAGATCCTCCAACGTTTAGACCAGTGATTTGGGATCTATTGTTATTTTATTTCTAACGATAGTCAATTCGAGAATGATCATCATTCATTGATGTTTTTGAAATTCACCTCACGCCTCTCATAGAACAACTTCAATGATTATAGCTTCTCCCTAACAATTGTACTTAGCTGCGAGTTACATGTATCGATTTTTATGTAGGGGTTTGTGTAAGTTGTTGAATTTATGAGCTTTATTCACATATTATTTATACTTAGATAACCGTAGTAAATTAGGTTGAACGATGAAAATTTATTTTAAAGGTTTAATAATAATGAAATTACAAACATCAGTGATTACTATTATAGCTAAAGAAACATGTTTAAACTTGATTACACTCTAATTTGTATATTTTCAGAAAATAAAATATACTTAGTAGCACCGTTGTCATGTTATTTAATATTTCAATAGCAAGGGTAAGAGATTAAAAGTTGAGTTTTCAAAAATATTTATGACAACAACATTTAATTGTTTTAGAATACAGTGACTAGATTTGTTTAAACTTTCACGAGTGTCTCATTCATAACACAGGATCTAATAAAAATGATGCTCAGTTATAAAAATTACTACATTCCATCTGATCTATACGTTTATATATATATATATATATATATATATATTTATGCACGGATATTACACTTCACTTCGCTATTAGCATAGTAAATGTCCCCCTGTAGGATTCACATGCTTTACGGTTGTTTGATTACTGAAGATTGACCAATATAGTGTTCTCAATATCATGTCTTTGAGGTCAGTGTCCATAACACAACCTGATCGATAGAATTCAACTATATATATAATATTACTCATAGCTCAGTGATCAATCAATTCTAGATATTTTAAGCGAAAAAATGTTTTCAGGAAACCATAAATGCCCACCATATTGTTCTTTGTGGCAAAACAATAATCACATTATGACTATTTGGAGCGATTACTTTATACGACAGAAAGGTAACACAGTAATAATAGATGAGTAAGAAGCATAACCTAATCATAACGCGCTTATTTTTGAGACGAAAGATATGAAATAGTAGTATGTCATGATGAAATATTATGTTTGGAACTGTAAGAAGTCCACCCTACAAAGCGTTAAGATATTTTGATAGTCAAGGATACACTTCACTGTGGTTATCTTCCTGATTGAATGAAGAGCATTTAAGTTTTTTATAAGAACTTATAACATAGAGGTGAGTTAAGTTCCATTGATATCATCAGTTCTAATTATTTCAGTTCAAATATTCAAAGATAAAAATGTTTTTGAATTAGTGATAACGTTTCTTATTTCAGTAATCGATCGATGTATGGTCATATAGACTCCAATCGTACTTGGAATACATTCGAAAGTTATGCATGCACTCGATAATTGTGTTTGTAGCCTCGTAATATGCTCAGAAATATGATTTTTATTTTCTTAATTTTAGATTTTAACTCAACTTGTGAAAAGTATTATTGAAGTTGAATGTTAATTTGTTGGAGAAAAGTTAAACCAGTTTGGTTTTCTAAAATTGCGTTAATTATTGCTATTTTGGGATTTCCTCCAGTGTAAGTCAATTATCTCAATTTTAATTTTGAATATCTATATTGAGATCAAGTTTAGAAATATGAGATGTTTTTCATAAAAAATTAACTGATGGGTAATAAATAAAAACGGGAATCCAAAATCAATCTTATCTGTTCCACTGTTAATAACATACTAAAAGAACAGTATTCGAACGAAGAATATTCTATTCGATAAATTCCATTCAGGATAATCCGAAAAATGGCCAGGTTAAGGGCAAAGTACATCGGTTAAAGCATTTGAATTTAGGATTGTTAAACAAAATACAATAAAATTGTTGATATGATATGACTCATATAGAATGTTAACTTGAACCTGCATATATGTTAATTGAAAGTTTAAGATCCATGATCAGAATAAATATGGGTCAAATAGGGTGAGAGAGAAATAGTAGTGCAATTACAATTCGAACAACACGTATAAGCGAACAACTGTTTTCAATTAGATCGTCATCAGGCTTTACTCTAATATATTATTATTATTATTATTATTATTATTATTATTATTATTATTATCAGATTTATTCAATATTATATTTTTGATACAATATAGAATTCTCAGCGTAAAGTATTTCAACAAGTTTCCGTTTCTTTCTTCTTGGTCGATCCTGGCGATAAATATTGAGCGATCGCCAGTTAGATGTTAGCACTTCAGTAAATGAACATCTGAATAATGTTCATTCTTTTCGCTGTATATTACCAGCAACCACATTGGCTCTTATTGAGTTTTTTGTAACTTTGACAACGAAAGGTTGTACACTTTTCAGAAACGCAGCAGAATACATCATGCGATTAATAAACATATTGATATATTAAAACAAACAAAAATAGATAACTTGTTGAAATATCTGGATGGCAGGAACAGGTAGCCCAGATGCTCAAGCAGGCCGCCCCTTGTTGTGCAATATTTGTACGAAAATGTTAAACTAATCAAGGCAATATGGGTCAATAATCACAATGAAATAGAATAGGTCACGACATATAATATGTAAAATTCATGTTGATAGTAGGAAGACAAGTGTACTGATAGTAGTAAGAATAATAAAATACAGTAACAAAAGTCTTATCAATAGTTAAACGTTGGAACTAGAAGGTCAAAAGTGGGTAAATAGACTTGGAATAGTCATCACAAAACATTAAAATCATTACGTAATAAGAAGTGTGTAAATAATTAGATAGTGAAGAATACAAACGGCAAGAGGCGAAAAATTACAAACAAATACTAGATGTGAAAATAAGGTTAATAATAACAAAAATAGAATAAAATAAATAATAATAATTTTAAAAAAATCGTTAATTAAGTTATAACTGGCCATGGGAGGGATACAGGGGTTACGAATTTCTTCTGTACACATAAATTAGGGTTATATGTACGAATTCTTATAGCTTCAGCTATATGTAGGAGGCGGGAACGAACTCTGTTGGGAAATGATGGAGGTATACGATAGATCACTGGAAATGATTTTGATTTATCTACAGCATGACCGCTATCAATGAGATGTGCCAAGATAGAACTGCGAATTGTTTTTATCTGGCCCTTTATAAACCGCGCTGGTAGATGTTCAATCATTCGTTGGTCAAGTTGCCTGATAGTACGCTCGATATAGCTACCTCCACAGGAGCAGCTGAATTTGTAAGTGAACATTGAGGCCAACTCAGGTAACTTATCCTTCGTTTGCGTAGACATCGCTGGTCAACAAGAGAAAGCCAACGCAAGACTGGCTGCGTAGAATGTCATGGTGATTACTTTGGTTAACCTATATTTCAGAGTGTCACTAGCCACATCCCCGTTGAATTGCACTTTCATGTATAAAGGTTTCTTACGAACAGTCGAAATCTCCGACTTCTTTATTATGTCATACATGTACTTCTTAATGAAAGCACTGGGGTAGCCGATCTCTGTCAGTGAGTTGTTGATGAATTCAAGCTCCTGACTTAGAGTGTCTATTGTGCAGATCTTTTTAGCTCTGCTAGTGAAACATCTAACCAAATTTCTCTTGTACCGGATAGGCGTGAAACCGTTTGAATTTCGCCTATTTTCGCCTTCGTGACCATATAATTAATTGTAAATTTTCTAGGATAGCCGTTCCCCGTGAGAGTATTATGCAATGTGTTAAGCTCTTGTTCAACTATATTAGCAGAACATGTAGTGCGTATACGGTAACTAAGGGTTTTGATCAAGTTTCGTTTGTACTGTAGAGGTACAAAGCTCAGGAAATTCGTATACTGCTCAGTCCATGTACTTTTTCTGTTTAAGTTACTTTTTAACGATTCATCCGCATAAACAGGGATTTTTTCTTGACCAAAGTTACACAAACCGGGGATCCCATTAAGACCTATTCTACATATGTATAACTCTCCTTACTATACTATAGCTAAGTGGTCGATAACTGTATTGAAACCTCTACACGAAAAGCTTATAAAATATAGTGTTAAGGAAGTGTTCCAATTTGTTGATAAAATCAAAAATGCAAATACGTTGGGACTAAAGATGATGTCATTGGATGTAACATCGTTATTCACCAACGTCCCAGTCATAGAGACTGTAGAATCAATAGGTGAAAAACTGACTGAAAATAAAATTGAAACTACTGTTCCTATTAATGTTGTGAAAGAGTTATTACTCAAACGCAGCATGAATGTGAATTTCAAGTTCAACGGGGAAATATATATACAAACAGATGTTGTTGCAATGGGTTGACTACTAGGCTCTATACTAACTGATATTTTTCTAGCCAAACTAGAAAATGTTCCACTAAAAAAGGTTATTCAAAACTTTACATTTTACTGTACGTACATGGATGACACGTTCATCTTCTGTAAAGACAATACTTCGTCGCAAGAGGTTCTTAGGCGATTTAATGACGGGCATCCAGCCATTCAGTTTACATCTGAAGAAGAGAGTGACGGCCGAATAGCATTTTTAGACGTTCTCTTGACTAAGAGAGCGGATGGATCGTTAAAAATGAACTCAAACAGAAAAAGTACATGGACTGGGCAGTATACGAATTTCCTGAGCTTTGTATCTCTACAGTACAAACGAAACTTGATCAAAACCCTTAGTTACCGTATACTTGTTTACCGTAGCTGGATGTCTATTTTTGCTTACTAACCAATTACAGTTTACTTAACAGTGAGCAACCACAATTCGTATTTGTATACAGGTCTAGATAGAACACAAACTTATATTATATTAAACCTTTTTTTCATATTTCATTTACTACATAAAAAGTACATACGTATTTTAAAGAAATCATGTCTTTGTTTTCTTTTAAAGATATATAGCATCTGTATATTACGAGCATGTAAATGGTTTATTCCCATTAATTAGGTAAGCTTTTAGTCTAGTTACTTTTTGCAATTAGTAATAAAATCAATGGTGAAATAATTAAAACACTGATATAATTATTCCTGAAATAATGGATTTTTTGTGAGCTTGACGATTACGTTGAAGCGTCACATGTTTAAATCACATGAGATTACAAAATATGATAGAAATTCAAATTAGTAAGGAGATTGGAATTCTAAAATCAAAATCATTGACCACAAGACAATTGTTTTGACACTTAACAAGTTGAATAATCAATCAGTGATCTGAATAAAGTAAAAATCAATATCTTTGCATAGCATCAAGGCATCATAATTAAAAAGGAAAAATAAATCATTCATTAACGAAGTTAATCTCATATCGAATAGGTTAGACTGATAAATGATGAGAATGATTTTCCGGAAAACTATATGCAAAGATAGTTTACTTGAATTAAATACTTTTGATTTTGATGGCAAATAATGAAGGGGATGTTTAGATTTATTATTACTCTTTATACTTATGGGATGTCTATAAACACCTTTCACTTAATTAGAACAACTTAAAGTATTGTCAATTACAAACTCTAATTAATGTTTTCTTATATTCAGAAAAAAAGGGTTTTCTCAGTTTTGTAATGTCATTCAAAAAAATTAATTAGTTTCTATCTCTTCAAAACACATTTGAATAAAATAGTTTTTACAATCATAAATCGGTTTCATTTAAACAGTGTTCTGCAAATCCTTTGCTTATATATTTATAGTTCATTTGGCGTATTTCCACCAGAAAAACATTGGTTTCGAGTGCTGATGATTAGCTATGCTCTATTCAGTGAGTAATGTGATTAACAACACGCTTTAAAGCTATGTAAATTCAATTAAAGGTCTATAAGTATATGTAAATACTTTCTCCAGAAAGATTGTTTTTCATCAAAAGAAATTAGGCATTTTCCAGTACCCGTTAAAAGTTATTACATATTAGTACACTGTTTCTGGATCAGCTTGACAAAATTCAATATTTAACACAATATACTTCGATCTCATAAATTCGACCTCATCACTGAATCATACTCGACTTAAGATCTGTGAAAAATGGATATCTACCAAAGTTGTTTCAGTGTATCAGCAAAGAGAGATTGGATTACTGTGGTGAATCGGATAGTAGTCGTTATCACAATGGTATCAGATATAATTATTAAGACTAGAAATGAGCAGTGTCACATGGAAATCAGGAATTAAATTCATGAACAAGAGGTGTAATGCAATATTAAAACTCAAATGACGATGAGAGATACACATTTTCATAACGGCAACGGGATTTTAACCATGCTAATCAGTTCCCTTATAATTCATGAAGAAAATCTTTCCATAAATTTGAGACTAGAGGTCCACTCATGGAAATTTCAAACGATGATTAAGTGGTTAGATTAGTTTCATTGATGCAGTGAATGTATGTTTTCATTATTTGTTTGTTCTTTAAATATTATAGGTTTTCTGAGTGGATAGTAGGTATCTCATCATTTTTATAAAGAACAATTATGTACTCTAATTCTCAGTGATTTTCGATGAATGGTTGAAACGATTTTGAAGAAAACATTTGTCGGCTGCTATACCAAGCCTACATAGCTTATTCTAGCTTCTGGACAAAACGATTTATTCATTCTTCTCATGCTACATTTTGACCTTGTTAATTATATTCGCTTCACCTCGATTCGATTCGGCTACAGATACTGAGTAACATTTAACTAAAATAAATCGGCTCACATAACTACTCCAGTTAATTTCGCTAGACTCTATCCAGTTCGCATCCTTCGTTCTCTCTCTCTCTCCCTGATTGTCCGTTCTGATCCACAATTGTACAAAATAATAGGTATTCGAAATTCATTCTCGTATTCGACTTATTCAATTCCGTTAATCACTAACGCGAGTTAAGTCGATAATTCTATACGAGGAATGGCAGAATGTTTATTTCAATAACAACAATAATAATACGATTTAAATGGAGTGAGATATCGGGCCACTAAAAGTGATGAGCCTGTCGATAACATCATCGTCTGATGTAATTGACGTCAAAATGAAGGGGCACACTAAACAAGCATTTGCACCAGTACATAGTTATTGTGCGTAGCTGTATTTCGCTATTGTGGTAATGCTTGTATACATGTGATAGATCAAATGATTTCGAATTATGACATTTATAGAAGCTAGTTGCAAATAATAACGACTAAATAGCATGAACAGTATGGAAATGAGTTCATCAGCATCATTTGTCTAGCTGAATTGTGACCAGTTTCATTGGTGAATGTAATGATCGTCGATCGTCAATACAGAATAATTTTAATGTGAAAATTTTCTCGTTAAGTAATGATCTTCACTTCTATTAAAAACAGTGTGGTTGGGACATATTGTTCAACTTATATTTATATATATGTGACACATTACATAATGTTTTACTTCGTTCACTCGTTTTTAGATATGGCGGGAAACTGTTTTTGGTTCATGATAGCTAGACGTAAAATTGTAATTATGACCAAATCTCTTATTCCTCATCTAATCAACTCATTTATCAGACTATTAATGATCATTTCTGGATTGTGTTTAATCGGTCTATCGATTTTCGATGTGAGTTTATTATGTTTTTACTCGTGAGTAATTTATAATATTGCTAACATAATAGATTGTCAACTATAATCATGGTTTTAATGAAATCTTGTGCCAAAGTAAAAGTGATTTTTACACTGTATATTTGTAATTGTTTGTTCTGTTTGCTAATAATAAGGAAATTATTTTCGATTTTACCATTGTTCATTCCTAATAAACGATTTAAATATTTGCTATATTATTGAGATTTTACTGTTACTTACAATACATATGCTACACTCACAGTAATTAATTTACTTAGTTCTTATCTTCTTCTGTTCACTTTTTCAAATGATTTGAATATGTAAATATAGAATTCATTTAATTTCCACAATCAATCCATTTGTATAGGTTGCTTGAATCTTCCCATTGATGTTTAAGACTGCAGTTGATTAGTCTTTTTTGGCATGCGTGCATCCTATGCGGAGTACCTTGAGTCACAAGGATTATAAGCACAGATGAATGGTGGCTAGCAATGGACTCCAGGACGTTTATTTCGTCTATTTCAGACTTGTCAACTGGATGTACTTGCATCTCAGATTTAGTGTTCACCCCGGGACACGAACCCAGTACCATTCCTTTCAAACACAATCGAGTTGTCCACTAAGCTACTAAGTTCAGGAAGACAAACATTTCAGGTGTCTATATTTATACTGTACAATACCAAACTCGTTTGTTGGACGAAGATCATGTTGAAATGATGGCGATTATAATCACATCACTTTATCAACAGATGAATATAAATTTCAATTCAATAATTGGGACAGTTACAAATATGTAGACACTAGATAGTCAAAAAATTCTGATATTTTTTGACGTATATACAATTTCGATAATGTAATAAGAAGACGAAGATTATCAGAACTATGTGATATATTAGCGCAATACATTTCGAACAATCTGACCACACATATACACGTTAAGAATATTTACATATAAAAAATAAAAGGTCAACTAAACGGAACCTGTACCAAAATGGTTGTAGAAACAATTAGAATCAAGGACCCAATAAGAGTAGAGGATAAACATCCATCATCTTCTAATTCTAAACATATGATTGGAACAGGCCATAAGATTGATCTTAACTCGGCTTTTGTAGTTTTGTATAAAAGTGTAAATGAGTGTATACTAAGGTTTATTGAAGCCTTAGCCATACGAAAATTCAACCCCCCTTTGTGTATTCGAAAACAGTTTGTTCTCACCTTCAATCTACCCTGGTAATATTGGCTTATTATCCAGTGATTAGGTTTTCAAATTGTGTTCACATTATAATTATTACTTTTATTATTATAAAATAACACATAATATCAAGGAGATTGTTTTGATAAGTGACAGATTATGATAGAAACAAAATTTCTAATACCTTATTAAATTAATTATCATCTGTAGGTTATATTCCAAGTAGCCTTTGTGCCTTGATGAAGCCAGCAGATGCATGGCAACACTGCTATTTTAACTGACTGGTGTAGCGGATTAGATCTGTGGCAATGATTGCTGTCAGTTCTTTTCCATTAATAGAATAGTTACCAATGGTAAATTAGAAAGATATCCTTGATAATTTATTTACGAAAACTATAAGTAGTCACAACCTGACATTTTTATTCAGTAGAAAGCCATTTATATTAACCTGTCCAAATGTTCATCAGTTTTATTGTATGTATCAATTTTTCAAATAACGTATTGTAATTATCATTTTACAATCGGTTACAAAATACATGAGCCATCCTAGATTAAGTATCATTAATTACATACAAAATGATGATATCTCCACCATCTCAATATCTGGAAACAAATGATCTACAGTTGATGATTAACCACTCATTTTAAATTTACATGAGAAACATTTATAAATTATTTAATTGTTATATCTTGTGACTGCCAATTAGAGGGCGGTGAGTTATCGGTCGGACCAAGGACGCGTAATACAAGTGCGAGCAGCCTAGAGTTCTGACTGGTCCTACTTTCTGCCTAGCCCAGCCAGTTAAGCACAGAACGCCAACCCGAGCCTCTGCGATATGAATCATGTATTTCAAACATACTGAGTTTATATACCAATCAAGCAGACCACATCGAACCATAAAATAGAAAATAACATTTGTACAAGATTTGGCCAAATGTGGTTGTGAATGTGTGGGGTAGTGATTAATAGACAGGGAATAATTCAAGAATGGAAAATCCTATAGTAACGGTTCATAGGTTAAAATAAAGCTTATGATAAGAGAGACATGAATATGAATAGTTTAGTTAATTTACAATTATACGGTAAAAATATACGCACAGTATTGGTTCATAAATAGATCCCAAAAAATTACCATTCATTATTCTTATCGGGATATAGCATTAATGCAAAGCAATTTATGTACATTTTTGTATTTGATTTGTCACCAACTCACCATGGAAAAAGTTAAATCGAAATCTCAATCAAAATATATCATAACTTTGAAATTAAAATCGAGGCCTACGATTCTGTATTCAAGAATGTCATTTACATTTCCAGAAATCCATATTTTTAACAACCTACAGATGGAAAACTATGGAGGAATACATTTTCTGATGACAGTTGGGAACTTTATATGTCATGGTATGTCAATTTTGTTGGGATGTTACCTAATGGCTAAATATTTTGAGAAACCTCTCTGGTTTTGCTATTTTCGACTTACACTTATTGTGAAAATGCTGATCAGTACAATATCATGTAAGTTATTGTATATACACGAATAAATATATACTTAAGATAGATAATTTTCATCGAAGAAGAGTAACTTGAGATAAAATTTACTGTAACAATTTCTGTCAGAAGTATTCATGATCACATTAGTAGTAAGATTCTGTTTAATGTAAAAGTTGATGATGTCCATTGTAGTAGTACAAATGTTACCTCTCGGTTCTTCACGTTTATACAAAAAACAATGTTGAACAAAGTGTGCGTATATTCCTTTCTACTTGTCAACAATCGATTTTCACTCTTTAATGTCTGCTTCCAATTCGCGAAGAAGTGTGTTATTTGGTATTTCACTTTCCTGTATCCCTTCATGATTCCGAGTTAGCTCTTGTCTCGAGATGCAGTCTGAGGATTTCCGTAATGTATATCTTATCCACGTCCAGCATCCTTTTCTAATTTCCTCTTCAAATGGAAGTTGGTTTGCCCTCTTCCACAGTACACTGTTGTTGATGGTATCCGACGAACAGACATTGAGTATCTCGAGTAGACGATTGTTTATAAATACTTGTAAATGTTTGGTGATGTTTGTGGTAGTTCTTGAAGTTTCAGCTCTGTACAGTAGAACTGTCTTGACGTTCGTAGTGGAGATTGTGACTTTGATATTGGCTTGCATGCAATTGTTTTTAATTCAATATGTTGTTCAGTTGTAGAAATGCTCCGTTGTGGCGTCGACGACCAGAAGAGAGAGAAAAGGATCGAGTAAGCAAAACTGTCTGACATCGACCTTCACTTGAGATGTATATGTTCAGCTACCTTCCATGCTCGACTTTGCAGTTTATCCTAACGTAGAAGTTCTATGTGATTGTGACAATCATCTCATCTACATCATAATGTCGGAGAAGACCCCATAACGTTCTACTACCTACGCCGTCAAACGATTTCCCATAATCAGGAAAGCTGATGTACAGTGACAGGTTCCATTCACTTGGCTGTCCGTAGTGTCACGATTCGGTCACCAAACGATCGGCGCTTACGGAATCCAGTCTTCTGGTTCAAATTTGGGCATCTACTGAATCTCTCATCTGGTTCAACGACACTGTTGGAAGGTTTTCTTAGCGTTGATAGTAGCATGATATCTCTGCGGTTATCAGAGTTGCTCAAATCGTTTTTTGTGTCTTGATGAAGTATCCTTCTTTCCATTCTGTCGCCACTTGTTCTTCCTGTCAAATCTTCTGGATATGGTGCCTTAATTCCAACTTTTAGATAATTCGTTTTTATTAAATTGTCACTTCAATTTACATAGACGAAGTAGATGAATTACTTAATTGGATGGGATTTGCAAGTCATTACCAAACAATCAAGTTTTTATCTAGTCTTCGCCTTATAACTAAACTTAAATGGTTTCAATGGAACCTGATAAATATTATAGATAAATAATTAATGGATTGAGGTTTTTTAGACATGGGGAACTTACTACCAACAAGCACCTACCTCAAAGTGCGTTAAATTTCTAGGGATCTAGAATTGACTGAACGACGACTGTTCAACAGTTCATAAAATAACTGACTGTGAGCGTGAGCCATGCTGGTTGATAGAGACCATCTAATTGAGGTCCAAGCAATTACCACGCTCAGTGGCTTTAAACACTGCGTAATATTGCCCAGTATCTCTCACAATAAATAAGCTACATTCACTCTCTCTCTCTCTCTCTCTCTCTTTATATATATATATATATATATATATATATATATATATATATATATATTACTTACGCCTGTTACTCCTCGCGAAGGAACACAGGCCGCTCACTAGCATTCGCCATCTAACCCTGTCCTGGGCAATCCTTTCCAGCTTCTTCCAGTTGTTATTCATCCTTTCCATATCTGCTTCCAGTTCCCGACGTAATGTGTTCTTTGGCCTTCTTCTTTTCCGCCTTTCTTCAGGATTCCAAGTTGGGGCTTGTCTTGTGATGCAGTTTGACGATTTGCGTAGTGTGTGTGATATCCATTTCCATCGTCTTTTCCTAATTTCCTCTTCAGCTGGAGGCTGATTTGTTCTCTCTCACAAAAGACTGTTGCTGATGGTATCCGGCTAATGGATATTGAGTATCTTGCGTAGACAGCTATTTATAAATAATTGTACTTTCTTGATTGTGGTTGTTGTAGTTCTCCAAGTTTCAGCTCCATACAGTAGAACTTCCTCGACGTTCGTATTGAAGATTCTCACTTTGATATTGGTTGAAAGTTGTTTTGAGTTCCATATGTTCTTCAATAGTAGGAATGCGACCCTTGCTTTGCCAATCCTCGCCTTTACGTCTGCATCTGAACCTCCTTCTTCATCGAAGATGCTTCCTAGGTATTTGAAGGACTCTAAATCTTCCAGAGTTTCGCCATCAAGAGTGATTGGATTGCTGTTTTCCGCTTTGAATTTGAGGACCTTGGTTTTCCCCTTGTGTATACTGAGGCCTACTGATGCAGAGACTGCTGCAACACTGGCTGTCTTTATCTGCATTTGTTCATGTGTATGTGATAGGAGGGCTAGGTCATCTGCAAAGTCCAAATCGTCTAACTGGTTCTGAGCTGTCCATTGTATTCCGCGTTTTCCCCCAGATGTCGAGGTCTTCATAGTCCAGTCGACCATCAGAATAAAGAGAAAGGGAAAGAGTAGACAGCCTTGTCTGACTCCGGTCCTTACTTGGAATGCATTTGTCAGCTGTCCTCCATGCATGACTTTGCATTTTAGTCCGTCTTATGAGTTCCGGATAATGTTGACAATCTTCTCAGGAACTCTGTAGTGTCGAAGAAGTTTCCATAACGTTCTCTCATTTACACTGTCAAATGCCTTTTCATAATCAATGAAGTTGATGTATAGTGACGAGTTACACTCAATTGATTGTTCGACGATGATCCGTAGTGTTGCAATTTGGTCCGTGCACGACCGGTCCTTACGAAATCCAGCTTGTTGATCTCGAAGTTGGGTGTCCACCGCGTCTTTCATCCGGTTCAGCAACACTCTGTTAAAGACTTTCCCTGATATTGACAGTAGTATAATGGCTCTGTAGTTTTCACATTTGATCAGATCTCCTTTCTTTGACATCTCGATGAGGTGTCCTTCTTTCCAGCCCATCGGCACTTGCTCCTCCTCCCAAATCTTTTTGAAAAGAAGGTGAAGCATGTTTGTAGTTACTTCGATGTCTGACTTCAGTGCTTCAGCTGGTATGTTGTCGGGTCCTGCTGCTTTCCCGTTCTTGATTTGTCTGATGGCCATTCTGATTTCTTCCGTCGTTGGTGGATTGACATCTATAGGAAGATCTGTGTGTGCTGCTTCGATGTCCGGTGGATTCATTGGAGCCGGCCTACTCAGGAGTCCCTCGAAGTACTCTACCCATCTGTTCCGCTGTTGTTGAATTTCAGTGATTGGCCTGCCTTCTTTGTCCTTGGCCGGTCTCTCTGGTTTACTGTATTTCCCTGCTAGTTTCTTCGTTTTATCTTAAAGTTGTTTGATATTTCCTTCCCTTGCAGCTTTTTCCGCCGTCGTTGCTAGTTCTTCCACGTACTTCTTCTTGTCGAGTCTAATGCTTTCCTTCACTTGCTTGTTTGCTTCTATGTATTCAGCTTGTGCTTGGACTTCCTCTGTTCGTATTCGGCTGTTGTTAATTGCTGTCTTCTTGTTCTTCGTTTCTTTGATCTTGTCCAGTGTTTCTATGGAGATCCATTCCTTATGATGGTGCTTCTTTAGACCCAGAACCTCTTGACACGTTGAAGTTAATGCTTCTTTGATACTTTTACAGTTGTCCTCCATAGTAGTTTCCTCTTCCTTCAGTAGATCCTGTAAGGCTTGGAACCTGTTGTTGAGAGATATCTTGAATTAAATAAGAAAGAAAGATTAGTTCAGCGAAGAGTTCTCTTTTCGGCGAATTCATTTTCAAAGCTGTACAATCGCAAATATATATACTTATTTATACAGGGTGATAATAATACTGATAATAAACTTCTGTTATACATGGTGACAGTGAGGTTAAATAAACAAAGGTATTAGAAAAAAAAATTTTTTTAAAAACAAGGAAAGTTTGATAGATAATGGCTTAGATAGTCATCAGGTAAGAGTAGCTCAGCATGATAAAATAACATAAAATGTTGAAACAGAGATTAAATGTAATCGGAATGATCGTTGAAATAAAAACAAACCGGTTGGGGGTACAAGATTTGAAGGGAAGATGGGAGGTGAAGCAGGTGGCTGTAAAAGAACAAGAGTAATGAGAAAGAGAAAAAAGAGAAAAAAATTTTAATACATTAAGACCACGGTAAAAGAAGAGGTTGTACCAGTCTCTTTTGTACACATAATTCTGGTTTTTCAAAATGTATGGCTATTGTCTCGGCAATGCAAAGGAGATGTAGTCTAATTGTCTTAGGAAGGTTTCTACTTACCTTGTAGATGACTTTGAACGCAGAGTCTGTCTTGATTGAGTGACCTGTGTTCACAAGGTGTTTGATTATAGAACTTCTTATTGAACCGCTGCCTCCTCTTCTTAGCCACGCCAGACAATGTTCTTGAATTCTTTTGGATAAAGTACGCATCTTGAATTCGTTGATTTTGTTAGTATCTCGAAGGAAGGCTGTATTGAACCTTTGTAGTGCTGTTTGTCCGTTTGTCCAGTTCTTCTTTAGCTTCATTTTTAAATTGGCCACAACTAGGTGGTGATCTGAAGCTATATCAGCTCCTCTCCTAGTTCTCATATCTTCCATTGTCCTTCGTAATTTTTTATTGATGCAAATATGATCTATCTGGTTCTCTGTGGTGTGGGCCGGTGAGATCCATGTGGTTCTGTGTATGCGTTTGTGTGGAAACATGGTGCCTCCTATGACCAGTTTGTTGAATGCACACATTTCAACAGTCAATCAAGCTTAATCGTCACCAATATTTGTTTGTATATTTTTAGATGTTTATTTCAACGTAATTGGGCTTCCCTTATTGAGTACATTGAATGTTTATCGAATGAAACCAACTGATGGTGTAAGTTTCCACTTTGTAAATATTATGGATGAACATGCTTTGAATTTTGAGTGAATTCACACTACCGGTTAGTGTGGATTGGTTGTGCCTATAAAGATAATTTCTGCAGTCGTACAAACTCGACCGAGCTTGATTAAGTTAAAATAAGCTGTGTTAAGAAAGATAGAGAGTGGTATCATTTATTGATAGATATGGAAGCACTATACGGATTTAATAACTTTTACAAGAAGAATGTTGGAACATATGTGAGAAAGTATTTTGTGCTTTAACTAATATTTTATTTATTTTGTCAACGTGTTCAGGGCTACTGGGAATTCCTTTATTGTGCAATTGCTGAGTGGATACTGGTTCTTGCGTGTCTTCTATTCACTCTAGTTATTGCTCTGGAAACACAAACATATGAAGACGTTTTAGCACGGAATAAAACCAGAAATATTACCACAATACAACTTATGAAACAAGTTTAAAATATGTCAATTGTTTTGAGCGACATCTTGTACTCACTAATCTTTAAACAAAATTGATGAATATATTGATGAATAACGAGTTGATCATTCCTTTATGAACTAACTGGTGAGAAAATCGAAAACTTGGTTCTTAATTTGTTTCGAAAGTCAGTTGGGGAAACATTTAAATCGGATGAAATTTGATTTTCACTTACATCAGTTGAAATTTTTGATTATCGCTTGGAAATACTATGGTTGCATGTGTATCCAGATTTAGGAAACAATCTTCGAGGAATTCGAAGTTACTCTGAATCATCCGATGCTCTCTGTTTTCTCAGAAATCTGAGTTGGAGAATCAAAACCTGTGGTATATGTTTGCTTTATGGAACAACGGATAACTTTCAAGTGGGATTTTTGGAAGAGTATCAATACATTGTGATATATCCACATTGATTTAATTGAATAAATTGAAAGCAGTGATAAGTGGCCGAATGGTTTGTCATATGCCAGTTTTAACTGTGAAACAGATTACATAAATGATAACAGTAATTTACAATTACAAACCTTTTATTAGTTGACTAGTGCAGTAGTAGCAATAGTATAAATAATAAATAGCTTGAAAACATGAGCAAATATTCCTACGTAGGATGTAAGTCAAACTCGAAAAATAAACTTTTTAGAATGATAGTCAGTAAATTTAACGCATTAAGTGTGTGAATAATCATTTCGAATATCTTGAAAAGAAAGAAGTGATGTAAAAAGGATCAAGGGAAAAGAAAGTGATTCGGAAAATATGGTGAGATCATCTTGTACACTTCCTCTGACTGGAAAACGGCAACAGGTATCGAAAACGTCTTAGGTAAAGAAAGACTATAGTTGTTTGTTAAAATTTCTGGTGTAAATGCAAGATGAAGTGAAACCACATTTAGGAAATTGAAATGCGTTATTTGAATCATTCAAAGTTGTTAATTCTATTTACAACATACCTACTATCAACCTAGTGTTATAGAGCAGAGAGGTGTATTGATTATGTCTAACACTTGCCAAACCTCAAATACGAGTCAGTTATTCAAAATAAGTCGGTCAAAAATACCAGATCAAAATGAAATTCAATATTAACTAAAGACACATTGTCTAAATCTAACTAGTTTTAGATGCCAAAATATTTATTCAGCAGGTCAACTTGATTCTCAGCTTCGCTATGTGAAATAGATGAGTAAGAGAGCGTGACTGGGGTAATAAAAATGACGAATTATGACTCGATTAAAAAAATTACAGTATTTGTTGAAAGTGGGCTTTTCACTGAACTTTTATAGTGCTAAGTATTTCATTGGTCGTGGAGGAAAACGGACAGAGGTTGCACAGTCTATACTTTAAGCACTTAGACGTTTTTTCTCTTTTTTGATTCTCATCTTTATTAATGTGCAACTTTTTAATTGTCACCCTTATTTTTGCAAGCCCTTAGTAATCTGTATTTTTTTCAATCTTATCCTCTTTCGGTGGTCACGCTTTTGCTCATGCCTTTATTAGTGTAAACGATTACCAGAGCTCCATAGGTATTTAATAATTGATATTCTATTCAATATACAAACGTTTTACATTTCGGACAATAATGAAAAGAAATTGTAAATAAGTTTAATGGGAACAACATAGTAAACTAACAAAGTAGTAATTATAACCTCAAATTCTCACAACTTCAATAATGAAAGTCTTCTGACGCAAACACATGACGAATATCTACATGTGAGTTAGTTCATTTACACACATGAAAACACAAATCCTCGTAAAATAATATACAGATAAATACAATTTGGTTTGAGAAATATTTAAAATGGGGAAAAGTTATTCCCCGTATATTCACACGGTTTTATTGATTTCTTCATACTGGTTTTCATAAGTTCTTAATTCTAAGCCAGTTATCAAAGTGACTTCTATTAATCCCAATATCACGAACCATTCGCTGATTGCACATTGATTGAATTCCTTGTAACCCTGAAATAAAACAAATCAGTGATGTGCATTATAAGTCTACAAATACCTAAATACTGATCACTTGGAAATAATCTCAGTTAAGTTCACATGGTTGTTATTTTAAATAAAAAGAGTCTTATGGTAAAAAAGAACTCATAAAAATAATCGGGTAGACCAGCTAAGGCTTTACAAACACGATAGCTCTGTTTGTAGATGTTATGCATTTAAAGCGAATGGAGATTTTACCTCGATTATTTTTCACTTTGGCAATACATAGTCGTTTTTCCGAAAACTTTGTTTCCTCACTATTTACTCAGTTCACGTAAGTATGGTGTTGAATACACGAGTGAAGAAACATGAAAAGTTTGAAGACAATGTGAAATGTTTTAGTCATGAATTATAAAACCTGTTTGTAAATTTGTGTGTGAATTTAATGGGGGTGAAAGTCAACTGTTCCAAATTGTATTAATTTAACTAGTATTTCTTTCAACACATCAATGGTGTGCATCTTCCTATGTTAATCAAATGCCTTGCATTTCCAAATTGATCCTACTGTGTAGATAGTTTAGATTTTTCCATAGAAACGAATCAGTAAATGTATACTGAATTTCTAGATGTTTCTGTCTTTCACCTTAACGCACACATTGGAAACTTCCTATGGTACCAGATAATAATTGAAACTGGAATGAGGAGTAGAAATCAAGGTGATAACACCCGCTTACATAAGCATGCATAAAACTACGAAAGCTTCAAAGTCGACAACACCACAACTTCTTACTCTCCTAGAGGTAAACTGAAGTGACTTGGTTTTCCAGTTTGTGAATGGCAGATTCAATATTCTCCCATCTGAAACGGTTGTCCATGTTTGAAATATATTTTCATATCACGACTTTGATCATTAAGCTAGATGTTTACGAGAACTACGTAATTCGATTTATTCAGGCGAAGCATTCGTGTTACTTCACCCGGGCTAGATTCTCACAAGTTGTTACGTGATATTGACTTATGTTTGGTCGAAATCTCTGTTTATTTATTGAATATTCGTATTTACGACAGGATTTGGTCTCTCTAAACTGTTTTGTTTATTTTATGTTAAGTTATATATATGTTGATGAGTAATTCGTTATACATTCATGGATTCCATTTTGTTAAATATTTGAACGACGGTTTACAATATTGTCACTGTGATCTTCAGTGTTTGAAAAGAGTTCAACGGAAAACATTAATCTACTAAATGAAATGTCAACTCATTTAATATACTGATTGTAAACACTGATATTGATGATCTGCACTCACCGGTTCGTTTTCCTTGATGTAAAACAGGTTTTTCGCCTGCAATACTAGTAGACCAGCTCGATTAAAATAAACAACTAGAGTACGGAAATACAAAGAAATAAATTCAAATGCTAAGTTATTTGACTTATTGTTAATGATACCAAGTAAGTAATGATACCAAAGTTTATCTGAAATAATATTTAATTTATGCAGGCCTATAGAATAATCTGTATACTTCTAACATGAACAGTCATCTAGAACATGTTCAGGTGTTGTTTGCTTAATGGTAAACAAACTATAGAAATAAAGAATACATAATACTGGTAAATGTTATTAGTAGAAATTTGGGTGAGGCGAAATTATGGAAAACGACTTCATAAATTAAAACCAGTTAAAATACATGTCAGTGTAGATTGGATTATTGATATCCATAAACATTAGTTGTTATTGTCATTTGAAATACAGAAGATTCGCTAAATGTTGTGTAACTTACAAGAAAAAGATCCGATGATCATTTGAAGCGAAACAATAATTCTAGCAAGTAGAAAGCATTTCCATAGACGAAAATTACCAACGATAAGTAAAGAACTCAATGGAATAGCGACCACATGGCAAATAAAATTACTCAACGTCAAATGGAAATGTAGTTGATTAGTATCTTTCATCTGCAATAGAATAATCATAATTTGTCGGTTACTAGAGTACAGAATATTGTAAAACAATTAATGTCACATAAGAGGAAACAATCGCTGACTGAGAATTCCATTTTAATTATGGTTTAATTCTCTACTGTCTATTCAATGAAAATACTTCGTGCATTTTATGTTCATCTGTGATCATGATCTGTTTGAAAGGAGTAAATGATACTTAGAAATTATACACATAAGCTCTTGACAATGTGACTTTAAGACGAGTTATGAGTTTACTTCCCTGTGTAAAATGTGAGGGCGTAAGTCTCTATTCACCAACTAATAGTGATACAAGGCATTGTTTTATTTTCCTGAATAGGTCTATGAGGCTATACAACAACGTAATTTCGTTCGAAAATAACCGAAACACACTACTAACGTAGAACTAGTTATTAGTGTTGTGGGAGAACAGCTGAAGAGAGTACTTATTTACAACAAAGTGTCACAAATCTTTATCTTCAAAGCAATACCATAAACTCTGTCAGTAAATAACTATTATTATAACTCATATACATGTTTAAGTACATTATATAAGCATAGAACAGTGATTAATTTGTTGTTCTAAAAAATATGGTAATCTCATAAATCAAGATGTACAAAAGGAAGCAAACAATGTCAGATGTTTTGGACGGTTTCTTGACCATCAATTTCAGTGATTGTAGTGTTTCTCACAACTGGTCTGAAGTAGTTACGGTTCTTTCCTACCAGGTGATTTGTTGCAGTGCAGAAGTCGAACTTGACAACTGAGACAGAAATGAGGATTGTTGTGTAGGCATGTTGTGTAGGTATGATCAAACTCTACTAAATGTTTGACTATTAAGATTTATGTAACTGGTTTATTGGCTAATACTTCCCAACCAAAAAAGTCGATATCTGTTATAATTGAGATCTTGAACCAATTGATGTTAGACCATCACAATTGAAAACCTGGAAGCACTGGACGGCCGTTTCGTCCTATTGTGGGACTCCTCAGCAGTGCGCATCCACGATCCCGCGAGCGGGATTCGAACCCAGGGCCTTCGGTCTCGCGCGCGAACGCTTAACCAACTGGACCACTGAGCCGGCATCCAATGGTGATAGTTTCTA